AACTGTGAAATGTCGAGTGGAAATATTGCCAGCAAGAAGTTGCTTTTCCACAAATTCATCATAAAATGGCAAGTCCTTTTCTGTGAAATGAAACAATAAAATAATAAGAATGATAATAAAACAATTAAGGTKGCTCGACGGGGTTTTCTTGGCTTGGTTTTCTTGATTTTCTTCACAAATACGAGGACACAAACAAGCAAACAAACAAAAATGAAGAAATAGAAAATGTGAGTGTATGCTGTGTGCAGTTATAAAGCACGCAGAGGTTGGCAGACAGGGCGCTTATTAGGTACCTAATAAGYGCCCTGTTGGCAGAATACGAGAAGAAGTGTTAGGAGAAGCATGACATGGAGTGCTTCTYGACACTTCCAAGTGTTTTGCCAATCCTTAAGTGCTTTATAACTCCACACAGCACAGCAAGCAAGTTTTTTATTTCTTTTATAAAATACAAAAAACAGGAATGACAAAACTGGAAGTGTGCATGCGTGCTGTGTGCTCTCATAAAGCACATGYTCCCAAACAATAAAATCACAAGCTTTAGAACAGTTATTTCATAATGAGTTGTAAAGTAAAAGAACCAATACTTAAAAGCAGTTTTATATCAATTCTGATTTCTGTAAAAACATGCTCATTTGAAAAATAATTTCATATTTCCCTAAACTCTATTAAAAGATTTGTTCCTCAATGAATWGTTTGCATAAGTGTATTTATGATTAGAAGTTGAAATGTAGCATGCCAAGAAACCCCCATTGAGCCAGCTTAACTTCAATCTGTTTCTGAGGGATAGACATATTTCAAAACAATACCTTTTCTATCTGGAGARCCATCTGATGAAAACTGGTGCATTGATGAGAGTCTGTGAATCAGACCTGCTGTTAACTGAAGATTCAATGACCCAAGAAACATTCTTTTGTGAGACATCTCCATGACAAGTCTTATCTTTCTTACATGATCCAAACCGCTATGCTCCTCTTCTTCACCATCACCATCTTTTACTGGCTCAATATCCATAACATAAAGATAATCAAAGAAAAAGGCACCATATCTCTCGAGTGCAAAGGATTCAGAGTGTTGCTCAAGAAATGTTTCTTTGTCAAACACTATTTCTGGTGGCTCTAGGGATGTTTGTTCAGAATGAAATAATGAACCCAGTAAAAATCCTTGGGGTTGAGTGGCAGAATCATGAGGGGCTCTCACAGACAGAAACATGTCTTCCTGTATCAACAAAACAAAATAAATTATTTAAAAAAAACAAATGATTAAATTATTATTATTATTATTTAACGTAATAAGACATCTTAATTTCAATTGCTATGTCTCAACTTACACTGAGATAAAAACTTTCCATAACAAGTACATTCAGATCATAATCATAAAATGCCTCTGAATGGAACACACACTAACTTAATGCTTTAGTAATCATATGCTTTAGTAAACACCAGATAACACTCAGTTGCAGAACCATTGTTGTCTGGTTCATGATATAAAATGAGATAATTATCCCTGGCTGTATTTATTTGACATAGAGTACAAAGTTGATACAAAACATGTGTTAAGGTACCTGGACTGGCTAAAGTGGGTGTCTGCAGTTGGACAACATTTGTTCAAATTCTATTCAGTATTATTCTAGAAGTGACTTGATAAWAAAAATATTCATAACATTTTCTTTCCAAATTCTATGTTAAAAGTGTGAAATTTCACACCTAAGGTGTCAAAAAAACACAGGTTTCCCAAGGCTTTAAAATTGATTATTCTTAAATATCTCTTGCTATTTCTATTAAGCTTAAAAAAGTCAAACTAAGCATTTATTTGACTTAACTTTATGTAAAACTGCAAATACGACAAGACGATCTCTTAAATACCTCTTACTATTTCTATTAAGCTTAAAAAAGTCAAACTAAGCATTTATTTAACTAAACTTTATGTAAAACTGCAAATATGACGAGGCGATCTCCCAACTTCGACCGATCATTAAATTTTTGGCTGGCTAATTTTTCAGTCCATGCTTTCTGACAGTGCAATAGATAAATCTCATTAACGTGCTTGTGACTCCAAGACCAAATACATCAACGTTTGGAAAAAGAACCTTCGCTTTGGCTGCACCGGCACTCTGGAGCAATCTCCCTGATGCAATTTATGACTCAAGTTCAGTTCCAGAGTTTAAATCTGCATTAAAACACTACCTGTTCACCAGGAGTAACTGACTTTTTTTGCAATTTTTTCCACAAACTTGATATCCGTCTGGTCCTTTTGTAAAAAACATTGAGGCGTTGTATGATGCGTTTGTTAAGAACTTTATATTATTCACACGTACCATTTCAGTCAGCTTCTACGTTCCCTGTTTTGARCCTGACAATGCCTTTGCAAATAAGTGTATATGGAATTTAATTGTCTTGTCATCAAAATACAATTATTTTCCTTTAAGATTTAACAACTACTTTGTTGGACAGCTAGCCACAAAACACGAAACATCTATTAAATAATCTAGTAAATTTTCCATTCTGTTCATTTAATATGAGGTTTTTTTAAAAATAAAGGGTAACTAAATTTAATATTAATATTGATAAATTGAAATATCCATTTTCACAATAAATTGACTATTCACAGCTCTTTCTCATTGGTTAACACTCCTCATCCTGTTAACAAACTAGAGATTAAAAAAATAACTCAAACCTTGGCAAGTTTCTGTTACATCAAGTTTACATTATACCACGGGAAAATACCACCATTTATAGTAAAGTTATTTTTGAGAAATAAGACCTTGGAGGCAGGGTAGAGCAGGTTACCTGGTTGGAACGATTTACTAGTACAGGCATCCCAACCACTTTTTAGACAAATTTGATAGGAAATATAGGCTGTGCAAGTTCTAAATATAGGAAAATATAGGATTTTTTCCCAAAAATATATGCACTTTATAGGAGCTAAGATAGCTTTTTGGTGCTGTAACCAGGGATTGGCCATAAAAAAAAACAGAACCCAAAAAAAAGGGCCATTTTATTTCCTTCGCCAAATATGCTAAACAGTGTAAAATATAAATGTATCAATCAGCAGTTGTCCTATTTATAGGAAATATAGGAGGTTTTCTTTAAATATAGGCTCTTTATAGCATCCGATACAAATTATAGGAAATATAGGATATATAGGAGGTCTGGGATGCCTGCTAGTATCTTAGTCTCTAAAAATCTAAAGGAGAAGATGAAAAAAGTGGSCAAAATTTTGAGCAACAGTGTTGAAAGCCATTAAAGGCAGAGCGTTTATGCCATACTGATCAAAGTTATCAAAATACTYGTCTCTTACTTGGTGTTGCAAGGCACCAAATTAGATGTTCGGGTGCCTTGTTGGTGACTTGCAACACCAATCATGTCTGGTACTCCAAACTCCAAATTCTGTTCCTGATTTTGGCATATGTAATCAAGGTYGTTGGGACTTCATAAACACATTTGCACAGGAATTTTATAGCTGGCTTTAGAATTGAAATACTTCATTTAAAACATAAGGCAGGCTGATATTCCCTCAAGACCTCTCTCAGAATTGCTTAACATTTCATAATTTAATAATTTATCAAAACTTTTCAATGAATTGCCATTTTTTTGAGGAAAATTAAAGGAGATCTTAAYGCTTTGAATGGCAAAGATCAAACACTGGAATGTGCTAGCAAATTATTTATTCTGCTTCTTTAATGAAATGGAATTGAAAGATAAATCTTACTATGTACCYCATGCTACTTTGTAGTAGACTTTAAAGCCAAAACRTTTATTATATAAATACTGTRAATGAATATAGGCTATAAGAATATCTATATTGTCAAGTTCAAGTGAATAACAATTCATGTTGAATGAATTTGTTTATATTGCTCATTGTAAATCTGGCTCTTGAAACCATTCTCCTTTCTGATCTTGGTTAGTTTATAGTGCAGAGAATACTGCTCGAGTAGCTGAATATCTTGAATAGTTAACCAAAAAAACCTATTGCCCATAAAGTTTGAAAATTCTTAGAAATCATCACTATCTTCTTGGCTTGAAATCCTTGTAAATTAAATTTTTTTAGTTCGMCTATCTTGAATTAYGGCAGTCAACAAAATAGAGCATGCGTAGACATTAGTCTGTCACATGACCTGTTAGCTCCATCTTTCATAATTACTTGACAATATAGTGACATTAATATCTGGTACATTCTAATTGATTGGACTAGACACGARCCCTWTAGCAGATGCCYGCTAAGGTCTCTTGGGTAAGWTCCTGAAGACCCCTGGGTACTATTGTGCAACTTGGCAATTTTGTGGGGCAGGAAAAAAAAAGCATAGGTATTTTATGGCCCGTTTACTGTAGCAAATATTCAGAATTATAAAGAATCATGCAAATTATTCATAATTTGATAATAGTCTGACTTTTACCTTTTCRTCATCCTCTTCAGTTTCCTGAATTGACTGAACAGTTTCAGTCTTATTACTATGGTAACATGAGCAGTCACCCAGTGTCCAACCCATTATTGATGTAACACCAACTTGAGCATCAAAGAACTCCTCTCCGCGTAATATCAACTCTGAAGCAACCCCAGACAATTCACAGCTTAATAATGGCTGGAATTGATATCTCTGAGCACCAAAAAATGTTCTCTCACTGACTTTAGATGTAAGTTTTAGTGTAAGAGTCACTTGAGAGATGTAAATTCCAARCATTAAAAACAGATCTGACGTCTGGGTTTTAGTATCTTCCAAAGCTTCATCTGTAGTAGACTCAGGAATRAAAGACCACATCCAGTTATACCAATCATCTTGAGGTACACTAAAAGACTGATGAAGCTGTACTGCATTACCTTCATTGGTTCTTGATTCACTGTTTGAGATWATGGTTTTCCCTCTCTGAGAGTCGTGATTATCTTTAATCATCTTAGCTGCTGRATGTTGCTTATATTCACACCCAGGCAAATCTAAAGTGTTGTAGTATAATAAGACACACAACTTCAACAAGCGCACAAATAAAGGAAGCTGTTCATCAGTCAATGACAGATCAAAACTCTCACAATACACATTAAGTTTGGTGGATTTGGGTCTTAATTGTGCATCATAGTTGATGTTAATCCTGCAACTCAGTCCACACTTATACAAGAGTGGGTCTTGGTACATATCAATTTTTCCACTTGTACTTATCTTGTCGAGGCAAACTGTCAAGTCAGAGATGTTACAAACTTTACGCAGGATGTAATCTGGGGCAGCGATGTCAACAAATGCTTTTTCCCAATTGGCATTGACTGAGAAGGTTTCTGCTGACTTCACATTCAATGACAATACAATATCATCTTCAACATACTTTAARACAACATTGTGGATACAAATAGAGATGTTGTTGACTACTCTGTTGACCAAGTTTTGAACATAACCAGCTGGAGGAGGTTCACCTCTGTCATGAAGGTTCTTTTTATCCAGTTCTTTCTTAACTTCCAAAGTTGACAATGGTGATGCATTATCGCCATCATCATGTTTAACTGTAGGATCTTTGAGCTCAATGACACATTCTATGGTGTTGATAGTAATATTCACAGGCTCTGATAAAAGTTTTGTCCATGGAACATGTATTTGAAGTTTATGGATCTTCCCACTTAAAAATGTGATAGGTAATTTCAATTCCTGTGGAATATGTAACTTTATTTTAGTATGGTGCATAGTCAAAATTTTGAAATGTAGAAACCTAAGATCACAATGAACATGAAAAAATGATGATGAAAAGACGTTGCTATGACAACAAGGGAACCCTTGTTATGCAATCAAAAATGTTCATTYAAAAAATCATAACTCTCGAACCAAATGGTGAATGTTTTTAAAAACGGAAATATTTTAACTTTGTATCTTAATCTTATAGCTTATTTGAATAAACTCCTAAAAATCTAGGYTATATCAACATTTTAGAAAAAGCTAAATATTCTAACACATGAAAAAATACATTTTTGTAGGGAATTTTGTTCCACTTTATGAGATTTTTTAAGAGCATCGAAGCTACAAAATATGACAAATCAATGTATCTCTCTGTCTTTTTGTCGWAAATATCCACGTATTATTGTAGAATGATTGTCTAGCCGTCGTTCCTGCAATTATATACTCTGCAAATAACTATTATCTTATGAATTTTAATTTTTTTTCTAATCACTTCCAGTTGCGCAATTTTTGCTCCAAAAGCTTGCGCGTAGGCTCCCATTAAATGCTGATTATTTCAAAAACAAGCTCAGGAYACCAAATTCTTCTTTCCAGATTTGGAATCAGCATTAAATTTCAATTCGGAAAATCAGAGTTTTGAAAAAAGTTATATATTTTTTCCAAAAGTAGACAGTCACCTTATGTTTTTGAAAACATAAACCAAAGCCATATGCTAAATTAGAAAAAATTTCACTGCAGAGTTTTTGATTTTTTTCAGTTTGAATTTTAAAATTTTTGAMGACAAATTTTTCCCTTTGCAAGTTCTACATCATGGGATCTAGAGTGTGCGAGCTCAAGAAAAACTGTTTTGAGCCTCCTTAAGTAAAAAAAAGTGTGTATTTATGAGCAGGTCAAGTCACATGCTGAATCAGCATTGGTCAAATGTATCTGTCAGCTCTGTCTCAAGTTTGACCAATGATGAAACGGCATGTCACATATTCCTTGCACTCTATTCAATGTCCTCATGAATCCRGGTTTTCATAGATTTAAAAACCATGAGGTACCAAGGTGTTTGGGACACTGATTTAAGGGTTGTACCCTTCAGSCATCTAACATGCATTTGCAAATGTATTCTTTGAATACCTTATTAGGTAAAGCAAATCATACAAAACTATGAAGAATTTTTTACAAGAAATAATTTCTTATGGACCTTAATGAAGCTTGCTTACCTTTTCAAGAACATCAAGCCTAAGTTCAAGATTGTAAAGAACCACGTCTCCCCCCCATATCGACAGGCTCAGATCTGAGGGTTTGAGATTCTTGATGTATTTGTCGACATAGCTCATCAAAAGAGGMGATATGTATGTCTCTAGCATTGTACTAAAAACTTAACACTACAAACTYTTTGAACGCATTGAAAAAATTCATTGTCGAGTCGCTGGTAGGCTAGGAAGCCACGAAGCTGAGTTTAKAACCCATGGCAAAACTAATGAAAACCTCCTTTTTTCGCCTCGAAAAGCCCCTYCAAAATCCATACAAATTACTTTCATTCAGTCAAACCATCCCTAAATAATAGAAATTAAACTTGAATAAAATTACTCATAGCACCTCATAGCACCTCATGACTTCGCGTGATGGTTGTTTTTTAAGGCTGAAATTATACATGCGCAAACGACACTRGAGTGTATATAACGAGTATTTTGATTGGTGTTCGTTTCATTTAAAAACCAATCAGATAGTTCGTTGTACTTTAACGCCAGCGTGGCAAATTCCAATCTTTAGCCTTTCGGCGTTTTGGTCAGCGGGCTTSTGCCGTGTAAGACTGTGGGGAATCACAGGCAGACCAATCTTGATTTTTGTTTATTTATTTATTTAGCTTTTGCCTCACATCAAATCATAGTAAAATAAAAATTAAAAAGAAATAAATGAAATGAAATAGAATAATAAAAAAATACAAGCGGATGAGAGGAAAATTTGAATGAATGAGATTTAAAAATTGAATATTGACTTAAG